ACAAAAAATATAGTAAAAAAATTAGTTTTTTGTTGGAGAAAATTATTTATATTTCTTTTTACTTTTAATTTACTCTTTTCTATCTTCATTTATTTATTTACTTATCTATTTATTCATTCAGTTAGTTATTCATTTAATTGATTTTCATAATTTTCTTTGGGAAGAAGCGGAAAAGAAGTTTCAATGATTTCTGGAACGCTGAAGTGGAATGTATTCGAAAAAACCTCAGTTGAACTAACTGTTCGGTTGATTTTGGAAGCGTACAACTGGTCGACATTTTTGGTTAAGGGGAGAGAAAAAAAAAAGAGAATAAATCGGGTCAGTAAATGGCACTTTTCAGGTGCTGCCAGTAGAAACGATTGTTCATCACATTTTCACTTTTTTTTTTTACGTCAAAATTATTTATTTTTATTTATTTATTTTTTTTTTTTTTTTGATTTTTATTTCTGGTAACAAAAAGCCAATACGATTTTTTTGCAACTTTATATAGATCTTCAGAAAAAAAAAAAAAAAAAAAAGACAAAATTGGTGAATGAAGATTTGCTTTTTTTTTTTCTGCCTACTGTTATTATTGATGAAATTGTTCCAAACACTTACTTATAGAGGGTATTTTTAGTTCTTTTTTTCTTTTTAAAAACTAAAACTTTTTTAGGCAGAACTGTGGCAAAAGAAAAAGTGGTGAGTGTTATTTTCTTTGTTGTGTATAGAAGAAGAAAAAAAGCGATATATGTAGGTATATTTTTAAAGTTTATCCAACGATTTGGAACAGTGGGAAATTACTTGGCCGTTAGGAGCAATTACTTGGTTGTTTTGCCGTATTACTGCGATGATAACATTGATTCCTTTTGTTCGTTCGGTGTTCCTCTGACGATAATCCTAAAATGAAGAAGAAGAAGAAGAAGAAGAAGAGGAAGAAAAAGAATTCTCTTTTCTTATGACTCTGATCACTGACTTCTGAACGTTATACGACACAAATATAATATGCGCAGATTTTTTTTTCTTTTGCCATCACTTCAGAAATCTTTTGAACTGTATCAGTGGATGAAAACTTGAGCAGAACACCCAGTTGGTAGCTGTACATAGAGCAGTAACTATGAATAATACGTAATTGTTGCTGTTACAAAGAAAAAAGAATGGAAAAGCAAAAAAAAAAAAAAAAAAAAAAAAAAAAAAAA